ACCGCTCTGTTCTGCAGCTGAAGCTCCAGATTTCCCGCGATGTCCTCAATTCTCCTCGTAACAGTGCGTCGGGAGAGCGGCACTTTCTCAAATGCCTCCTTTTTCTCCGGGCATATTAGTGTCCAACAAACACTCCTTAATGAACTCTTCGTCCGAAAACGGTTAACTTTTAAGACATAACTGGTCTTGACAGCTGCATCTCTGGATGTGGAATGTTTTGTGAAAATGTGTTGTTGGCTTTGCAGCTTAGCTAGCAAAGCATCCGACCAGTTTTTTCAAAAACAGTTTTTTTGCACGCTTTGAGAGCAGCCAGGCTGTGGAGGTACAGTGGGACCAGGAGCTACACTGCCCTTTTGTTTTAAATAGGGCAGATGTGTGTAAATCCTTTAAAAGGGTTAACCCACACAAGGCTCCTGGACCTGATGGCATCCCTGGCCGTGTTCTCAGGGTGTGTGCAGTTCAGCTGGCAGAGGTGTTCACAGACATCTTCAACAGGTCCCTGCTGCAGTCTGTAGTCCCCACATGTTTTAAACACTCCACCATCATTCCTGTCCCTAAAAGACAATCATCACCTGCCCCAACGACTACCGCCCAGTAGCACTCACCTCCATCATAATGAAGTGCTTTGAGCGGTTAGTCAAATTATTCATCACCTCCTCCCTCCCTGAATCTCTGGACCCCCTGCAGTTTGCCTACAGAGCAAACAGGTCCACGGACGACGCCATAGCCCTCACCCTCCACACTGCCCTCTCACACCTGGACCCGAAGAACAGGAACACATATGTGAGAATGCTGTTCATTGACTACAGTTCAGCATTCAATACCATTGTGCCCTCCAAGCTGGCCATCAAGCTCAGAGACCTCGGGCTCAACAGCGCCCTCTGTGACTGGATCCTGAACTTCCTGACGGGCAGACCCCAGGCAGTGCGGGTGGGAAATATCACATCCTCCACCCTGATTCTCAACACCGGTGCCCCTCAAGGCTGCGTGCTCAGCCCTCTCCTCTACTCCCTGTTCACCCACGACTGCGTGGCCACACACAGCTCCAACACCATCGTGAAGTTTGCTGATGACACGACCGTCATCGGCCAGATCACAGACGATGACGAGACGGCGTACAGAGAGGAGGTCGAAAACCTGACATCTTGGTGCCAGGATAACAACCTCCATCTCAACATCAGCAAAACAAAGGAGCTGATTGTGGACTACAGGAAGCAGCAGGGAGAGGGACACGCCCCCATCGCCATCAATGGGACTACGGTGGAGAGAGTCAAAAGCTTCAGGTTCCTTGGGGTCCACATCACTGAGGACCTGACATGGTCTCTTCACACCACCACCATCACCAAGAAAGCTCGACAGCGGCTCTTCTTCCTCCGCAGGTTGAGGAGGTTCAAAATGGATTCCAGGATACTCTGCAACTTCTACAGGTGCACGATAGAGAGTATCCTCACTGGCAGCATGACGGCCTGGTACGGCAGCTGCACCGACCTCGATCGTAAGGCTTTACAGAGGGTGGTGAAAACTGCACAGCACATCACCAGGACGGAGCTGCCATCCATGGAGGACCTTTACTCCCAGCGGCTCAGGAAGAAATCCCTCAGGATTATCAAAGACCCCCAGCCACAAACTGTTCTTTCTGTTGCCGTCTGGCAGACGTTACCGCAGCATCCTGGCAAGGACAAGAAGATTCGGAGACAGTTTCTTCCCGCGGGCAGTGAGACTGTTAAAAAATTGAACTGTTGAAACATCAAACATTCATCTGCTACTCAGTAGTATGTATCTAATACCTAATATATATATATCATTCCAATAACTTGTATATAGACTCGTACTGCACTATTCCACATCATAACTTTATTTCATTTTTATAACTATTATTATTTTTGTATTGCTCATGCTCTTATTGTTATTATGTTATGTTATTATGTTGCATTGTTGGAGAAGCCTGTGACATAAGATTTTCAACTGCATAATTACTCTGTAGCTATGTCAGATTGACAATAAAGAACCTTGAACCTTGAACCTTGACCCCTTTGCCCACTCTTCCTCAGACAGGTTCTTGTATTTATCTGCGTGTTTGGTAGCATAGTGGCGACTCAAATTGTACTCCTTGAACACAGCGACCTGCGCACCACAAACTAAACACACAGCTTTACCTTTCACTTCTGTAAATAAATACTTAGCGGTCCATGTCTTGTTGAAAACGCGGCATTCAGTATCGATCTTTCTTTTTTTGCCCTTAGCGGACATTTCGAGGACTAGCCGGCCAGCATCACTCGTAGCTGTTACGGCATGCGCGTTTACGTAAATAAATAAAAAAACCAGCAGCTTCCTTTTCAAAATAAAAGCAACACAGTTAGAAAAGTATTTACGCCATGCAAGCAATACAGCTGTGTTGCTTTTATTTTGAAAAGGTTGCTGTTTTTTTTCATTATGTTATAATTTATGATCAACCTCACACGGGCCGGCCAAGGCCGGCCAACGGGCCGGATGTGGCCCGCGGGCCGTAAAATGCCCACCCCTGATCTAGTGGATATTAAAAATAATACAAGGAAGACAAGAGACCACATTGCAGAGACATCTATAATGTCTATAATTATATTTTTTAATTTGAAAGGTGATGACAGATGATGGACTTTTTTTTTGTTGAAGATATTTTTACTTTAATCTAAATTACATATGTGATTGACAATCTTTGTTGTGATACTTTTATCAGCATAAACATTTATGTCATCAACATGTGGTTGAAAACAAAATAGGCCACCACAAACGTGAGCAAAAATGGAAAAATAAAATGTATTTCCCATGAAGGCTAAAAATGGTGTATTATTTCAGTTAACAAACTTTGCCATCTTATTTAAATTGAAACATATTTTAAAATAAATTGTACAGTACATTTTGCTCTGGTAATCCACTGGAAATCCACCCCTCTGGTGGGATCAGGATAATCCAGTTTTTTGGGATCAAACTGATCCCAATCCTGTGTTGTCGGTTTGAACTACCCATTTTGAAGATTTGATCCAGATTAAAGCTTGGATTGGATTTCCTGATCTGATCGGATATCAAAGTGATCCTAATCAAGTTTTTTGGTTTTGAACTACCCAAAATCCAAATCTGATCTGATCAGATAGGGATTAAAAGTTTTGAACTCCTGGGCCCTGGAGATCAATGGTCTCCAGACAGTGGAGATGGTTGTGGTGAACTTCTACACCGCCATCATCGAGTCCATCCTCACCTCCTCCATCACCATCTGATACGCTGCACTACAGGGAAGATTGTGGCCGACCCCTCCCACCCTGGACTCAAACTTTTTGTCCCGCTCCCCTCTGGCAGGAGGCTGCGCTCCATCAGGACCAAAACCTCTCACCAACAGTTTCTTCCCCTCTTCTACCGGCCTCATTAACAAGGCCCACGACCCCCACTGACACTGACTTTGATCCACCCCAGATAAACATTATGCATTACAATAATGTACATCACATCATGCAAACAACATCTTGTTGCACATTTCTTCTCCACACTACCTCTTTTTAAACAGCACAGCTCTCCACTTTAAATACAGTATAGTCAGGGTTGCCAACTCTCACGCATCTGGCGTGTGACACACGCTTTCACTCTCAATCTCACGCTCTCACGCTGCCCAACCTATTCTCACGCCAAAAACAAGATGAACCGGCGATCATTTTTGGTTGGTTATTTACAATGTTGAGTTGACAGCTGCTCAAGCTGTCAATCCGCTCCCTCCCCGCCCCCACCACTCTTAACAACGTTAACAGACAGCAGAGCAGTGGGAGCCGGTTGGTCAATCCCCGACCCGTATTGCACATGCGCAGATCTAAGGTCCAGTAGAAATGATAAAAAGTAAAAGTCTGCTGCTTATTGTTCTACTAGGCCAAAATAGAGTCAAAGAGTATATGAGAGTGAGAGTGTGTTAATTAATATATTTGGCAGTTTGGAGTAAGTCTGTAGATTTGTTTGTGTGTGTGTGTTTCATGTATAGGCCTCTCACGATAATTAATTTTGTTGGATACATTTTCCCGGAAATTATTGCGATAAACGATAATATTGTCGGCACCGTTGTATGACCATTTTAGACCACTGACATAATGATAATATATAATAATAATTCAAGTACATCCTTTCAAACTGCTTGTCACATCCTCATGTAAATGGCAATTTATCGAGTTCATTTTTATTTATCGTACGATAAGTCAATTATTTGCTTATCGCGACAGGCACAATAAAACAGTGGAAACAAACATGTGTTTGACTTTCATTAGTGAATGAAACTTTGTGCCCTTTATAGTCTGTGTCCAATATTGTGTATTTGCATATATTGTATATATATCCAATATATATGCTAAGGTCCCGCTACTGACATGATAGCAGTCATTTAGTGCGCATATGTGTAATTAAACCCATGATATAAAAATCTCACTCCAGCCAGGTACCCAAAGTTGGCAACCCTGGTATAGTATGTGTCATATGTAAATATTGTGAATTTGTTATAATAGACGTCTTCTTTCTGTCTTTATATGCACCACATATAGGCCTACCAAAGCAAATTCGTATGTGTAAACCTACTGATTTTGATTTTTTAAATATTGGCCTAGCTGTAAACGTGCAAATTAGGAGGTAGTTGAGTTTAGGTGATTTAATAGTTAATGCATTTTGAAAGAGTGGCTCAATGAAAAATACGTGGCCATTTGTAAAGGTATCCATTGACAGTAGCATTGGCTGCAGTAGATCGGACATTACCGTCACAGGGGTTTCCCTTACATCAGCTGAGCACTGGAACCTACCATTACCCTGCGACACAGGGGACACCAGAGGGATAACTGGCCCAGGAATAACATATAAACACCAACATTTTTTACCCAACAGTAAGTATTTGAATATAGTTAATATAAACTAGGAGTTTGTGAAGGTTTAACGGTGATGTTAAAAATATTATTAAATATGCCCCCCCCCCCCCCCCCCTCAAACCGTGGAACGTCGATGGTTCCTAAAATGGCAGCCGTTTCTGTCAGTGTGAAGTGAAACTTTCCTATTTTTAGCCAACATTTGGTCATTTTCTGTCGTTATAGGTCGACTGAACTCTTCTGTTTACTACAGTAAGCATTACCGGAATACAGAGGTGTTGGACAGTTTTCGTCAGGAGCGAGTGGCGACATTCTTGACTCCGTTTTCCGTCGCGGAATTGCTGGGCTTCCCTCGGAGTGTCAGTGCCTGACATTGGCTTCATACGGACTGCTGTCATCAGATCACTGAAGCTGAGCCGTCAGGGCGGACTGCATTTCGGCCGAGGAACTAGCTGGCCTGCCGGTTTAAGTGCGTGGAAAAACGACTCCACAGCATTCCGTTCAGCGGGATTGAGTTAGGGCTGGTCGGAGATTCTGAGGACGTGTCACGTCAGCTGTCAGTGGAAATACCGAGGTGGTGTTGGATGTCACCAGCAGTCAGTGTCAGGCTGAACTGGGTTTGCTAACGTCATGTAAGTATCACTTTATTTTCCGCCGTGTTGTTGCTCTGCTGTCCACAGTGTTCGTCTGAACAGCCTGTTCTGTTCGTGGCCTGCAGTCACTTGCCTCGATAGTTTGAATGAATGCTTTTTACATAAAAGCTATAAAGTAAACAAACAGTGTACGGTATGTAGCATTCGAAATCACCAGCGTTTACTTTTGACCAGAATTGCCGAAATGTGTCATAACGTTACCATCGGTTGCTATTTTATTAAGGGAGTGGCTGCAGGGGGACAGGGTCTGTTTTGTCTTGATTTGTTATCAATGTCTTGATTAGTACATTGCTAATCGTTGTCTATTAAAGGTTAGTAGCGTTACAATACAAACGTTAGGCCTTTGACTATCACTTTCCGTTTCAAAACATTGTTTTTAACTCTTATTTCCTGGTTCCTTTATGACGGACAGCCATCCTGGCAAATCAAATGGAGAAGCTCCAGGACCTGAGCCAATCAGAGCTCCAGGAGCTCCTGGACAACCCGGAGAGGGTGGAGTCTATGGCTCTGGAGTCTGACGAGGTAAAAAGTGGGGATTTACATGATATGTCTTCCATTTTTACAATACAGTATGTAATAGCTTTCAAATAAGCTCGAGCTAAGATGAACGAATTTATGGGGATTTGATTAATTATTTCTTAAATATGTTAGAGTTTGTAAAAAAAACACAAACCATCCAAAATGCAGTTCTAATAAAAAAAAAAACCGAAGTGACTGGACAGTCTTGGAGGGGGGAGTGAGTAAATAAGGCTTTCCCTTGTACCACTGTGGAGAAATGTTCAACAATATTTTTGTAATGGACAGCTCCTATTTATGTAAGTGTGTGGCCCTTTTAGTTGTATTCCTTCACACACCCTGCACTTGAAATAAAGACCGCTCACAGTTCAACATAGTATACCCAGGATATCTTTGTGCTATCTGGCTTCATTAACCCTAAAAAATGCAATCCTGCTAAACTGTACTACGATGGTAGTTATCAACTTGGTTAGTCAAGCCAGGGTGTCTTAGTCTGGATATGAGTGTGTTCACATAAAAAGGGCAGAGTTATATGAATATGACCATTCAAAAACATGGACAAGCATACTGTGTACATTCAATCCAGGCTTTGTGAATGTTGAAATGAAACGGTTTATAATATCATTGCCCTGTAATATCAGGGGCCCATGCAAAAAAAAAATTTTTTTAATGTTTTTTTTTTATTCTTTGTTTTTTTGGGGTCCCAATGGCATTGACCGGTTCACGCAGTCTTCAAAGTAACCAAGCAACCTAAATTAATTTGTAATTTGTCTGTCCAATGACCTTGCTCCCTTTCATGTCATGTGATACCTTGCCTGACGAGCGAACCGTTTAATCAACCTGTACAGTAGCTAGCAGCAGCAAGTTCGGCAGCATTATAAAAATGTTGGCTGTGCCCGGTGGTGGTCCAACAGTCCCCCCAAGGGGCCCAACCGATAGGGGACTCTATGGCGCTATTGAGACCCCCGACGCCAAGATCAAAAAGGGGGGGGAGGGGGCCCAAAACAATATCACAATCTTGTTACGCCACTGCAAAGACACAAGGAGATCCGAATTCAATTACATTTAAGTATTCCTTTAAATTAATGTGTTGCTTAACGGGGCGCTTTTCCTTATCTGCTGCAAGGATCAGAACAGGGGGTGTTGTTTGTATGCTGTACAGATGTATTTTGGGTTTATCTTCTTCTAAGAAGCAGTTCATACGTGAATGGTGTGGAAGGTCTTCAGTCTGTGCAAATTGTAAGAGGTGAAAGAACAACCTTAAAACAAAATTGGAAATCAAATAAAGGTCGAGCAGCATATTGCCAATAGCAAACTGACAAAACCCACTAAATCTGATGTAGCAGCCTATTATGTTTATTGTTGGCATGTCAATTTGTTTTGTTGAGATTTATAATGCAATTTTATTTTGGACACTTGGTGGCGGAGATTAGCTGCACAGGGTTAGCCAAGAGGAGAGCCACAGGAAAAGCTGCAGGGGAAGAATGGAAACTATTGTTCTTTGTACTTCTGATATCGGATCAACGGTATAAAATCCACATAAAGTACGTTCTTGTCTGGACTTTGATCATTCCAGCGGCAGTTTTACTTTTGATTTAATTTTTGGTTTTATTTCTTTATGATTTTTGCTGCTACATCTGATATATTACACAAATACAAACGGTGATTAAGGGTATTGAGTTTTATCCAGAAATACAGGATGGCTTGCAAAACGCATTCACAAATGTGTAAACTAATCTATAGATCTGACTATAATTAAAATTGTTGGTAAGCAGGCTAACTTTGATATTGTATCATTATACAATATTAAACTAATGGGTCATTACCCACAGCAGAAGTAACTGGAGCAAAGTAACTGTATGAGCAATGTATTACTGTAAGTCTCAGCAGTGCCTGATTTATCACATCATATATATTATCACATCATATATATTATCACCATATATATTATCACATCATATATATTATCACATCATATATATTATCACATCTTATGTTCACTTCTCTGTGTCAGCTGCGTGAGCCAGATGTTGACGTGCACTTACAGTGCCGCAGAATGATGCATTAGAAGTTTTCTTTTACTACAAAAAAAAACATAATTTTATGTACGCAGCAAGTGGTTTTAAGATTAAAAAATATATTTAAGATGATAGGTGCTGGACTGAAGAACATTTAAAGTAAGGAAAAATAAACTACACGTTAGATAATGCTTTGTGGAAATGTTTATAACCCACTGTCTTTAAGATATGAAAGTAAGCCTGCTTACCGCATTGTACTATTTATTTTTTTAGATGAATAAAGCAGCGTGTAGCTTATATTCTATTGCATAAGAATGCCTTTAACAGAACGTTTGAATGTTGTGATATTGACCCAGTTGTACACACTAGATACTGTTATTTGCAATGCAAAACATGAAAAAAAATACCCCTCTAAATGTAGTGCTATCTAGAAATATCCTAAAATGTAAAACTGCCATAATCTTATGCCTTTCCTTTTCCCTTCAGATCCAGAACATCCAGCTGGAGAGAGAGATGGCCCTGGCCTCAAACCGCAGCCTGGCTGAGCAGAACCTGGACATGAAGCCCCGTGTGGAGTCAGAGAAGGAGGTGCTGGTGGAGAGATATTCTCAGCTAGAGGCCATCAGAGAAACCTACAGACAACACTGCTCCCTCAGAGGTAAGTGGGAGGGAGGGAGGGAGGGAGGGAGGGGCATCTACAGTACGGGACAACAAAGTGAGTCTTGATCTTCAGGGACGAGAAATGAATGGGAGAGGTGGAGAGGAACCAGTGACCCATGAGCTGTGATGGTTCTAACTGTGGAGCAGCTGGGAGCACATCTTGGAAATGTCACTACAAAGACAATGTTTCCAAGCTCTCCTGCAGTCCACCTGAAACAGAGACTTTGTACTGATACATCAGAGCTAAGACATTATGATTACTGAGTGAAATACATTAAACCACATAGGCTGGAATAAACATTCTTTTGAACAATGTATTGTTTAAAATACTCTCCTTACCCAAACACAATAGAATAAACCACACACTATAATGTTGAGAAAGGCTTTGGTCCCAGGCGTATGTTTAGTTATTGAGGTTATTATAAATGTCAGACACTTTGAAGTTTGAAGAATAGATTGTATATTCCAGCTGGTTTTAATGGTAAAGGAAATATATAAATACAGTAAATGTCTCATACAGATGTAGCACCTAATTTAGGACAGTTTGAAATGCCGGGGCCGTGGCCGGCACAGGGTCTGCCCTCGCTGAAAGGAAAACCTCCAGCGTGACTTGAGACCGCCCCCTTGATAAATAAATAAAATTATAATGAAGCCAGCTGCAATGGATCATTGATCCACCAGGGGGTGCAGTGGGGTTCCACACTGGAGCTCATGTGAAATAAACTGTGATGCAGTAGATTTATGTCTGGTACTATAGCGGATCTTTGTTAAGATCCATATGTCACGGTCTAAAGAGACATGTAATCATTTACAAAACATCACCATGTTTTTATTTAACAAAATAATGTTGTTTAATCCACGTTGGCGTAAGTACAAAACCATCGCTATGTTTTTTCATCAGGAAATGCAGACCGGCTCATACAAACTATTTTTAATCATCATCCTCACGATCATTTAATGTATCATATGTTCGCCGAATTGACATGAAAGCACTGACAAATATGAATATTTCAGTGTTTGTTTTGTTTAAAAATGTAAAAAGTGATATACTCATTATATATACTACACATTTTCCTTGGATTTTTTAACACCATAGTCCCTAATATATTTGTAGAAAGGCAGGATATTGCAGATATTGCAGATATTACACTCATAAAATAAATGGTAGGCATATCAGTATACTCTTAGTGCCGAGTTGTCTCAGACAATCTGTTGACTTCACAGCTTGTCACTCAGAGGGGGGTGGGGGCTGGTGAACGGTATGGTCACTGTTTGTTTGTTTAAAAAGGACTCGGAGGGTTATACACTACACATTTTTCTTGGATTTTTTAACACCATAGTCCCTAATATATTTGTAGAAAGGCAGGAAATTGAATTAAATCGGAAAAATGTTTAATTGTGGAGGACCCCCTGTTTCGTATCCCCCCCCCCCCACTTCTCAAACCAAAGTTACACCCTTGGATTTTAAACAAAGTCACGTGACCACAACAATATTAGAAAAAATATATATTTGTATTTATTTTAGGATCTTAAAATCAGACCTGTTTTTTAAATGAAATCTGACGGCAGGCAGGCAGCTCTGATCACCTAATCGCCGGCCATTCAGCCACAGCTCCCTCTATACAAATCAAACTGTAGACGGTGTGAAAGCGCCTATTGTTTTAAATAATGGTCGGAATGTGAGCCTTCTCAATTACCGTGGAACAGCAGAGAACTCTAAACTAAAATGTTCAATCAATAAAGTAACATCTTATCTTATCTTAATAATATCTTCATATTAATAATAATAATAATAAATCATGCAGTATGTGTCCGAAAGGGAGCAGGAGGAAGCAAACACCAAAAAAAATATTGCAAAATATATACTGCATATTAAAGCAAACTATTGTAAAGGTATGAGCATAACAAATAAAGAAGTGTAAACATTTACATTATTATTATGATTATTTAATATATAAATAGGGTTCCCGCGGGGTCTTAAAAAGTCTTAAATTTGATAATCTGAATTTAAGGCCTTAAAAAGGTCTTAAATATGACCAAAAAAATAAGAAAGGTCTTAAATATGATTTAGAAGGTCTTAAAAATGATCGGATTTGAAAGCTACTTCTGTGTTGAGATCGCGTCTAAATGTGTTTTGGGGGAAATGTCCGGGCTGCAAAGTAACCAGCACGGTAAGAGCCTTTCAGTTCCCCCAAACAATTTGTATTGAAATAAATCAACATGGAACCAGTAATCACTAACTTTGTTTCCACCGGCCCCTTATCGGAGAACACCCAACAAGCAAGCAAGCTTCAGCTAGCGGCAGTCAGAAACTCATGTATCTTAGAATCTACTTAAAAATAAATATGGGGAAGTGTAAGTTCAACCGTATTTGGTTGGAAAACATCGAATGTAGTGCTTGGTTGAAACCAGTGGAGGGGAACGTGTTTGAAGCCCGCTGCACCTTTTGCAAAATAAATTAGCGTTTGTTTTTGCTAATGTAGTGTTAGCTAGTGCAGCAGCTCCCGCAACAACACTGGGGGACCTCTGGGCGACGTGTGGGTGTACGTCAACCCTAAAAGCGGAGGTGCTGTAGACGCTAAATACCGTAGCTAAACACCAATCATGAAAGATTGTAGCCAAGGCAGCAGAGCTCTGAATATAGCTCTTGTCACACACACACACACTGCTCGATTATGGCAAAAATCATAATCACGATTATTTTGGTCAATAATTGATATCAAGATTATTAAATACGATTATTCATTGACTTTGAAAACATCCATTTATTGAACTTTAAAACAAATAATAATTTGAACAGTATCTTTTTAACTGTTGATTACCCTGAACGTATAATTCAACTGCAAAACCAAGACAAAAATAAATTATACATTTAAATAAATAATATCAAAATAATAAATACCAATAAACAAGATCAACAAATATTTTGGAGCGCACTTCCACAAGCTATTATTAACATATATAAATATGATAAATAAAAATTAGACTAAAATTAATTAGATCAAATATGTTGTAGTGCAACCTAGCAAAGCAAAATAATTTCGTAATTGTGGCAGGCCAAAATCGTAATTGCGATTAAAATACGATTAATTGCACACCCCTAACACACACACACACACACATACACTTTTTGTCTAACACGCTAACACAGTTCTGTACTGTTATGCCTTTACATTTACTTTGTAAGTAATTATGGGACGTATTTCTTCTTTCATAGCAATTTTCCTTCATACTCTCTTGTCGTGAAATAGGTCTTAAATTCTATTCAAAGTGGTCTTAAAAAGGTCTTAAAAAGTCTTAAATTTGAGTAGGCGAAACCTGCAGGAACCCTGTATAAAGACTATATATTATTGAATTACAAGATTAGATATACTTTATTTGATCTAAAATATTGATGTTTTTTCGTTATACTGTGAAAACCATAACAAATATGTGTTCAAATGCTCTTCACCAAAACACAACTGAAGTACTGAAAGTCCATGAAACTTGTCTTTCTGTATTTGTGAATGAAGCGCCATCTCATGGTTAAATCCTGAAATTGGAAATCTGGCAACGCCCTCTTGGAAAATAGTGGGAGGGCTTAACATTCCCAGCCGCTGGGATCCCTTGGGTCTTTGGCAGGAAGCTGTTGGCTGGAGTCCTTTCTAGAGTGCTACATCTGTAAATATGTAATATAGACATTGAGAGATAGATTAATACATTTCAATTAACATCTAATATTAACAGTTAAGCCCTTTGCATATACAGTCTATGATAAGGCGGTGCATGTTTTTAAAAGTGAACGATATCCATGTCAGACCTGAGGACTCCTCTGTTCTCACATGCCTCGCTTGTGTTTACAAGGGCGGAGCTTAATAAGTTCTTAGGATGATGCTTGTGTGTGTGTCCCAGGCCAGGGCCCTCCCTCTGCTGCTCGCCCTGAGCTTTCTTCTCTTGTTCCACCACCAATCGGGGGGTTGTGGGGAGCGTTTCCCTGTCAACGATCAGAGGACTGAGGTTGTCTTATGCTGTTCCCTCCAGAGCTGCACACAATGAACGAGTCGACCAACGAGTATGGGCTTAGATTTGTCTCATAAATATTTGTGTGAACATAAAAATAATTTGTGTGCAAATATGTGATTTGTAAATGTAGAACACCATCCACAAATGCATTTAAAGGAGAGGTGTCATGCTTTTCCGGTTATTACCCATCCCCTTGTGTGTTATGAAGGTTTTTATGCATGTAAACGGTGTGCAGAGTCACAAACCCTCAAAGTACACCCTGTAGCGAGTAAAACTCTAACACAGAAAAGACCTCCCCAAAACGCCTCGTTGGAGATACGTCATTGTCCATTTGATTCTTCCATTTCGTTCCGGGTACGGCATGATGTCAAGCCGTACCCGGAACGAAATGGACCAATCCGTGGAGCCGTTACGTTACGTCCGCGGAGCCGTTACGTTAAGCCCCTGCTGATTGGTCCAAATTGACCAATCCACGGACTTCCTCACACACACATCTGTGTGCAGGGAGCAGGCAGCTCAGCTGATTTCTCCTCCCTGGCTGCAGGCTGATAACAGACAGTTGGGATCGCGGCGAAATTCTCTCTGCAGACCCATTCTCTCTGCAGACCCATTCTCACAGAGTTTATCAACCTTTTTCTTACTCAATATCAAGCCACACTTATTGTTTTTACTTCGGCTGTGAGTTTGTGTGTGCTCAGGATGAGTTTGCCTGTGTTTGGCTGTGTATCCTAAACAAGGAAACAACACCTCCACGGAGCTCAGCGCGATTCACAACGTCCCGACCAATCAGAGCACACTGTGCTCACAGGGAGGGTGGGGGCTGGAGCTATTGGAGCTCCAACGAGCCGTTAAAGGCAGAGAGTGAAATTCAGTGAATACACGTAGTTTACAGAGATGCTGTATGAGAAACCAATGTGAGTTTGGAGAAATGCACAATATAAATCTATTCTAGTAGACCTCAACAATGGAATTATGATCAGTGGAAATGGCCATGAC